TAATTATGATAGATCAATTTTAATAAAACATTTATTAAATGTTAATAAAATAGTGATAAAAAAAACATTATATAAAGTCATATAAAAACTAATTTATTTTTATATTATGAATAATTCTATAATTATATTAAAGATCATTTATAACTATCTGAAAAGGCAAAACAATTGAATAATCTTACTTAGTATTATAAATTTTGTTATAATATTTTTTTATAATTCAGATTTAAGAATTTGATGATATAAATGCATTTTTTTCAAAAAATCTTTGCCAATAATTTGAAATATTAGATGTAAGATAAGCATGTTTTTTTTTTAAAATTAAAAAGTTTTCATCAGACCACATATATTATGTTTCTTATATAATTTTTAACTTATAAACTCTACTGATACAGCTAATGCATTTCTTCAAATAATATAAAAAAATACTATTCAGATACTTTATTACAATATTATTGTACTATTTTTGTAAATTTTAAAAATAATTTTTGAAATCTGACTAATAAATATGGATAAAATGCAAGTGAAACCATGTAGATTTTATTTCAATCACATTCATATAATTTATTTTTCCTATTAGCTTAGTAATAATTAGCATTGGTACTATACCAATGTTGATTATTGCTATACTAATTAGAAAAAAAATAATATGCATACTATATATATTAATCATTTCATAAGCTTTTGCATCTTAACAATTAAGCAATTTAAATCTAATATTTTAAACTTAAGATGCTCTCAAGTACTTAAATTAATAGTTTTGAGTTCAATATTTAATTAGTAAAAAATAAATTATTCAATCAAGTAAGTTTATTATCATAATAAAAAAAAAAAGAGGATCAGAAACTATCTTTTTTTATCATAGAGTTATGCTGATTAGCTAAACTTTAATATTCATATTTCGCAACATAAATCTTTGACAAAATTATTGTAAGGGTTACTTCCATTAATTATTGTTCTTATACATGATCTCTATAGTTAGCTAATTATACTAAAAGAGATGCTTGAAAGTACTCTTAGTGTTGATTATCAAAAATCTTTTATTGTCTTTATTTAAATTTGGTGATTTATATAAATAAGATTTTTTAAACTATTTTTAACTAATTTGGCATTATATGTGAATGTTTTATACTGGCCTTACCAAATTTGGCATAATATTTGAATGTTTTATGTTGACCTTAGCAAATTTGGCATGGTGGATATCTTATGCTGTCCCATACTGTATTAAAAAATAATCTATAAATGATCTACATAAATCACCAAATTAGACAAATTTTTGCTTATGATATATACCACATATTATGATAATTTTATGCTATTTTAAATATTTACAATGAATATATGCTTCTTGTATTTTGTTAACAAAACTATTAACATTTACTTAACTATAATCATGTTTACAATTAAAATAATACAAAAGTTAATATATGTAAACTTCATTTTTTTATTATCTCTGCTTTTTGTTTATTTCCAAAAAAATAAATACATGAATATTCAAACTAACTAAAATGTCAGACTGGAACATAATTGGATTTCTCAATAAATGTAATCTGGAACCTTGTATAAAAAAAATAGAGTATTACCTAACATTACTCAAATTAATCACTAATATGAAGAATGATCAAAGTCATAAAAAAGTACTGAAACTTCTAAAATGATACAGACAGACAAGTACTAGCATTTTCGTATATCAAGGATAGGTGGCATAGTAGAGATCTTTGGGATACCTATCATTCAAGTCTTTGAAATGAGCCATAAAAACAGTATTGGAACACAGGTGCCTTTGGGGTTGCCTGATATTTAAAAGACTTTGGGTCTACTAAAACTATTAGCTATAGATGACTTCAGAGTTGTCTGATAGCAAAATGAACATTAAATAACAAATAAAAATTAGTTAGAATGAAAATATGATAGTTAAAGATACTATTAATTTACAATCTTATTGTTTTAGAGAAATCAACCTGATAAAAAGTAAGTAAAAACTTGGGATAATACACATTCATGTATGCAGATTCATATTAATCATTCAATTGTAAACAGAATGCTAAATAAAACAATAAATAATGTAAATGGGACCATAACTGGAGATGCATTCAATGTAAAAAGAAATAATCAAGCAGAGATAAAGATGAGCATGCTTTAACTAGAAATGTTAATTTGTATTTGTTAATGAATTACAAATTAATATTAAGACAATGGCGAATATTCAAAGTGGACAAAAATTGATTAATATTTCTTTGCTCATACTATGACATCACTTTCACTTTTACAAGAAATGAGTAAAATTAATGCAGATTTGCTGGATTTTAATAATATGAGAAACTCATATTCACAAAAATTATCATTAGCTAAGGTCTAAAAATTTTATTTTTTTATATTTAATTATTGTTCATTATTCAAAAAACCTTTTCTATATCACAGACTTCAAAAGATGCAATTATCAAGAAGCTTATTAATAATAAAAGCAGTATTACAAGATACTGGATCATATTTCTATTAGAACATAATTTATATGATTTGATAAAGTACCTGTATACTAATAAAGAATGGTCAATAATAAAATCAATTTAAAAAAAGGTTTTGCTTTTATTTTTTTTTCTGGTTTATTTCACCTATTGATATGAAAATATTAATAATAAAATTAATTCTAGATAGAAAATAAGATTATAAGTTCACTTCTTTCAATTGTAAAAAACTTGAAATCATTTCTAGAAAAATATAATAGAGCTATTGCAAATATCATAACTGAATATTATGTAAATTTGTATAAACTTTGAATTACTATAAGTGAAATATTATTTGCAGATCAGCACTCATATTTATTTGCTAGAGACTGGTCTGTTTAGTAAATACAACAAATATACACCACCTTGTAAGTTATATAGAAATATTCTATAAATATTTACTTTGTAATTAAAGACAGACTCATATTATACATATAATTGGTAACTTAAAATGTTTCCAGATGTCTTTTAACCCCCTTAAGAATGCTAATGTATCTGAGTATGCATATAGAAGTTGGATCATAAATCAACTTTGGGAAGAAATTTTATTGGCTTAAATAATATAATTTGAATGAAAATATAATTATTTCACTTTAAAGTATCTTTTTTTCAAAAAAATAAAGGTAATATATTTATGCATATTTTGAATTCAACCAGAGATGAAATTGAAAATATTAATAGAAAAAAGTAATTGGATCTTACAAGAAATTTGGATAAACATAAATCATGTACAGGTGGTTGGTATCATGATGCTATTTTAATCATGAAAGTCAGAAATAGAAATTTCAAATAGTGTTTAGAGAGGTAATTGGGAATGTATTTAAACAAGATAACAAAAAGTTAAATAAGGACTGAGAGAAAATACTCAAAGATAAAAGCATAATTTCAATATAACTTTAATTTTTTTATTTTTATTATAAAAATTTCTAAAAGAATTAATCAATTTATAACTATATAGTTAGTTCTTTCAAACTTTCTGAAACTATTACCTAAAGATATGCCAGGTATCGAAGAGTTGAAAACTTTCGAATTACTTGTGTACAGTATATAATAATTTGACTTATTAATTTCTTATGTAACTTTTATTAATTTCAATATATTTTCAATAATACAGAAAAAAAACTCTTTATTTATTCAATGCATTGTATAAATGAAATTCATTTTATTGAACAATGCAATGGATTCACAATTCCTAATACACTATTACAGTTAGGAAATATATTTGATATTATTTACATAATGTTCATGTTTAATATATTGAAAGAGCCTTATTTATTATCATTATTGTTTAGTATTAACTCTTTACTATGTATTTTCTAAAATCATGTTATAAAACTTCAACATCATGTGTAATCTTTGCATAAATCCAAAAACAAGTTTAACTATGTTAATACTTTTCATGAATATGAAAATTTGACTATTTTTGCATCTATCAAGCAATAATATTTTTTGAATCTACATATTTTAAATAAATAATAGTAAATATATAAAATTTATTGCTAAAACATGCAATTTGAATTTCCAAACTTGAAACCAGACTGATTTCTTAAAATACAAATGAAATTTTAATACAAATCAATAAATACATATGATTTATTGGTTTATACAGTCAAACCTCTCTATAATCACACCCCACAAGATAAAGATTTATGTGCTTATAAAAATATTTTTACTAAGATGTGCTTATAAAAAGATTTTTTTAATATGTTTATATATAATTGGTTTCTAAATAAATGTGCTTATAAAGAGGTTTTTTATATAATGTGCTTATAATAAGTGTGACTATAGAGAGGTCTGACTGTATACGTATAAAAGATAAATAGATGCGTATAGAGTAGAGCCAAAATGGTAAAACAAAGCTCGAATCACTAACTCTACTATCTATAAACACAGGTTGATATCTATAGTTAATAAATTCATACGCTTTAACAAACCAAGTCGACTTAAAAATATCTTAAATATAAAGCATAGACCTTATACGCGAACAAGCTTATTTTCTTCAAACACCTAACTTGAAATCTCAAGCTTTAAGAAAAAAGACAACTGCTTTGTTAATAACTACTTTTGTTTTTGTGCATTTAAAATTTAGACGTAGCTTTTTTTTCTTTACCTCTTGCGGAAAGTCGTGTCTAAGCCAACCCCTCTTAAATTAGAGATTATTAGAGATTATTTTTAAAGTTAGCTTTCTAGTACTTCTTATAAGCTAAGGATGATGTTTGTTAAAAATGGTTACTTGTGTAATGTTGCGTTCTCAAAAAGTACTCTAAAACACATAAATAAGTTACCCGGACAATTGATTTACATTAGCCAATCAGACGAATTTTTGCCTATGACGTAGGATCCACATCACTGTATGTGAATGTGAAGCATCCAATAACTAAAAAATTTCGCATACGTTTATAATTGGTGTTATGGGTAACACTCGATTAGTGAAACGATAACACATAAATATTACCCGGGTAATTGATTTACATCAGCCAATCAGACAATCTTCTGACCATGAGCTCTGAACAAATGGAACATTCACAACAATTTCTTCGTCCAATACCTCCTCCTTTGAACACCAATTTTTCACAATTATTAATGCCCCAGAATGGTAGTAATTTTGCCTCATCGTCATATCAAACCGATAATCTTGATGATGGTTCTGGTCATCGGCGAAGAGATAGCAACGTTTCAACAATGTCTATACAATTATATGATGTAGGATCTGGTCATCAACGACGTGATAGTAATGTATCTAGCATGTCAATGCAATTAGATACACCTACACCTTCTAGTGGAACGGAGTCTGGCAATGAGGAGGAGAATAAATCAGCATTCTATCCCTTTACATTTTCACCAAAACCATTAACCATGTCCAGGCCAAGTACACCAACCACACCGCCTCCTTATCCTTCAAGCTTTTACTCTGCACCAACAGCAAGAACTAGTGTGTCCTCATTAATATCTCATCATCCACAACGTATGAGGAGAATGAGTTTAGATATAAGTATAGAAATTGGCTCTCTGAATTATTCATCTGATGGAAAAATTGATAAACCATCACCAATGCACCGAGCTGTTAGAGCAAGGAGAGCATCTCTTTTGGTATGTTTTTCATTGACCCAATTCGAATAAATTTTAAAGTTTCAAAATCAGGAATAAAGTTCCGAACAGGATCAAGGCAAATCAGTGTAAAAAAATATGAAAATATAGATTGGAGCTGGCAAATAAATACTACATATCCAACCGTTTTGATCCAGCTGAGCTATTTTGATGTGGATGATCCGACTTACTATAATCCGGTTCTAAAAATTTAATCAGGAATTAATTAATATATTTATTTTATAGCCTAAAACTAGATCTTTTCAACGAGTTGCTAATGAACTTCAGGAAGAAGCGCGTCCGATTGAGGCCGAAATCAAACAAGAATATAAAACTACCAAAGTTCTCAAAAATGAATCTGATAATACTATGGACACTGGAAAACTGTCAGAGGTTGGTTTAATTGTTTATCTTAAATTTTCACAAGAATAACAGAAGTAATAGGTTTAATTTGGTTGTGAAATAGGAATTTCTAAATAATTGGATAAAGTTCCGTGATGTCCAACCTTCACCACCGCCATATACCGCTTCGAGATTAAATCCAGAAATTGAACTTGCGGTATGTAAAGGAGTTACCGCATTTTCACGAAATAACGGGCATGGGCGTTATTTAGAAAAATCGCATTCCCTCAAAATAATAATCTGAAGTTTTAAAATAACGCCCATGCGCGTCCTTAAATAACGCGCATCCCATATATACAGTATCTGTGATATAAGTACTAGTTTCTTTTGACACTACTGCTTATATATAATGCACACATTGCCGTTATTTAGAAAAGCAAGTTTATTGAAAAATCAATCTGTCTCGAAATAACGTCCATGTGCGTACTCTAATTAGCGCACATATACTCAAAATAACACGCAGGTGGGCGTTAATTCGCGAAAATATGGTATAATTATTTTTGAATAATTTACAATCATTCACAATATCTTTGTTGAATAAAGTTCCGTCAAGATACACCTTCACCTACATCCACTGTTGGCCCATGGCCGTCTTGTAGTCGTATAAAACGAAAAGGTAATAAATAAAGTGAATTGTTTCCAGTACTTATAATATATTTATTAATCAATATAATTTATTTAACAACGGTTAACAAAATAGCATCAGATGATCGATTTGAGCCATATTTCAATCCAAAACGACGTGCAGTTTCACCAAGTTTAGTCGGTAGTCCTCCTGTTGTCTCGGGACTTTCGTCACCATCAACTATTGGATCCCCATCTTATTCCTCATGTGCAACTGGTTTATCCAGTAGTTGTGGAGTAGGTGGGAATAGTAGCACGCCAGCATCAAAGGGACAAATCAAAGGTAATAGTAGTTTGGCCAATCTTCATGATGCCAATGGAAGTTTTAGTAGAATGAATTTAAATGGAGAGTAAATTTTTCGTGTAAATAAATTCTAATTTTTTTTAAAAATAAAAATCTATATATCTTTTATTATTGTGTCAAATTATGCATAAAAGGCACTATTTAAACTTCAATCATGTAAAAACATTTTGTTATATTAATAATTACAAATGAAAAACAGCTTTATAATCATGTTCCTTTATTTTTTCAATTTCTCCGTTAGCTCCGGAACAGCTTGGAATAAATCAGTAACAAGTCCGTAATCTGCAATCTTTAAAAAAAAGTGAGATAATCGGTAAAGTTTATATGCTCAACGTTTGAATAGATACCTGGAATATTGGAGCCTCAGCATCAGTATTGATTGCTACTATCATTTTACTGTCCTTCATTCCCGCTATGTGTTGGATTGCACCGCTGATGCCGACAGCCAAATATAATTCTATGATAAAATATTTTGAATATGATATACTAATAAATCTTTAACTAAGCGAACGAATGGGATCATCATTACCTGGAGCGACAATTTTTCCCGTTTGCCCAACCTAATATGCGTAATTTTAGATATTTAATGCGAAATTATCATAATATTAATTCCAGATAATGATCGGAAATGTAATAAATACCTGTAGTGCATTATCACAATAACCTGAATCAACAGCAGCTCTTGAACCACCAACTAAAAAAAGAAATTAGCATCTATATATATATATATATAAAAGTGAAATAAAAGGTTTACCAGCAGCCCCAAGTACGTCGGCAAGGCCATAAATTAATTTGTCGAAATTCTCACGATTTTTTAATGCTCTACCCCCAGATACAACTCTTGTTGCACTTCCAAGTTCAGGACGATCACCTTTCTGAAGATCTTCACTAATCCATTCGGTCATCGAAGGTTTGTCAGCATCTGGTGCCACTTCAATAGCAGCATTATTACCAGCTACGTTGGAAGGGGGAAACGCGGTTCCTCGAACAGTAATAACTTTTGTAGGATCTTTTGACTTTACTTTAGAGATAGCATTTCCTAGTAACAATCGGAATTTTTTTTATTCTTACCATTAATCAAACATGATTGACCATATTTATTTGTTAATTAGGCATCTCATACCAGCATAAATTGGCCTTATAAAAACGTCTGGGGATTCAATATCAATTATATCAGAAATTTGTGCAACATCTAGTAAAGCAGCGACTCGGGGCATAATATTTTTGCCAAATGCTGAATGAGGAGCTACCAAATGAGTAAAATTAAACTTTTTCTGAGATGTAACCAGAAGCGGAGCGTATACTTCCGCAAGACCATGTTCGTAAAGTTTGTGTTTAGCCACGAGTACCTTGGATATACCGGTGACCTTTGAAATTTCCGAGGCGACATTGTCAGGTTCTTCACCTGCCACAAGGGCTGTTACCTCACCGCCTAATTTAGTAGCAGCAGTGAGGGAATTTAAAGTAGAAGGGGCAATAGAATTACCATTGCGTTCGACCAAAAGAAGTGTAGATATATCTTGAGCGCTTGCATAACCGCGAACGAAAAAACCAGGACGAAGCTAAGAAAACACGTTAGAAATTAAGTTCTAAGGCTTTATATGTCAACATTTATATGAAAAATTAGCTTAGTACCGTTGTTAGTGAATTTTTAAAGGCAGTTTTTGAAACAACTCTCCGGAAAGCAGATCGCAACATAATTCAATATGCTCTAGCAGTAACTAAAAATTTACACTTCATCGTTATCGAGGGGGAGAATACTCACATGATTGGCTAATATTAAAAAAACTACCATATCAGTGTCATGCTAGGGTGATCATAAAATCAGTAAATCAAATGATAGTCCCGACCACATATAAAATTTATTATATAAGAATTTTTTACAGGTTTTTTAACAATTTCGGAAAATTAACTTTATTCTCTTGATTTATCGAACAAGTAATTAAACAGTTTATCTGCTTCTATTTCACCAAACATTGCTTGTTTTTCAATATCTTGCTCATCAAATTTTCTTTTATTTCTTTTTTGAACAGCTAAGTCTTCATCGGATAGAGATATTTGTTTGATGCTTGTAAGACGTAGTTTTGCTTTTTTAGTTTCAAAATTCATGTTCGAATGACATTTAAGATCGTACTGGTTGAATAAATCCTCGACCTGTTGTTGATGAATAACAATATAATAAATTTGATATTTAATGAATTCATATAACAAAGGAAAAGAATAAATTGGATTAGTAGAATTAACAAAATTGAATAACTCTTGTATAAACAATTGGTTTTTTGTTGCTTTTGACAAACTAAAATTAGTAGGATTAGGTTTTTCATTGCCTGATTTCAAAAGAGTTACATAACATAATTCTTTAAGATTAGGAATTTTTTTTTATTGTTTTTGTAACTTTATATAAAGATAGTTTTTGATGAATTTACAATTATTTTTATCATTTAATCAACACATACTTAATAGAAAATTAAATCATATATTTATCCAATTGTTTAAAGAATTTATAGTTTTGTCAATACTTAATTCTAAATTATTAAAAACTTGTTTGAAGTTTTTATTTTCCAAAATATTAACAGTTAGAATTTAAAATTTCACACAAATATGCAGTACAAAAAAATTTTTTTTTGTATAAAAGTACAATATGTACAAGATTAATAATATAACTACTTTATTGAATAACAAATAATACATATAGTACATTGGGGTGGATACGGAAACAGAGTAGTTAAATAGGGAACCTACAAGTGGGTTCCAGGTATGGCAGCTAGTGTAGAACCTTCGGGTGAACTACTTAAATTAGACAATGACTAAAGTTGTATGAGTAGCTAGTTGTACACTCTTCCTATGATTGCCCCCTGTGGTTGTAATGCAACTATTAGCCAAATATACTATCAATAAAATCCTGGGTCACAAGTACTCACCTTAATATTAAAAAAAAAAAAAAAAAAAAAAACATATAGTACATTGTGATAGTATGCATAACAGTTAACTAACCAATACATTGTGTTTGCTGTTCTTTTCAAAAATAATATGTGGATTTTTAATCAAACAAATTTATATTATTAGAAACATTTTTATGAATCATTAAAGCATATTGAGTGTATCTATATTTATATGACTTTGAATCTACTTTTAGTCAACTTATGTTAAGAAAAAATATATTCTATATAAGTATTAGAGAATGAAATAATAAGAATAAGTCTTACAAATAAATAAATATTTGAAAATTTAATACAAAAATATAGTTTTGTAAGAAAAATGAATGCCATCTATTTATATAATTAAATTTTCAAATAGATTTTATTATTTCTTTAACTATTATTTATTTTTGTTTTAATTTTTGTTTATTAATTAATGCTAGAATTATTTTTTTATTACTAGTCACTTTTTTCTTATTATAAAAATTAGCTAGTATTTTAATTTTAATATTTCTATATTTGATAAATTAGATTCTCTGTAGAGTAATAAATTTGAATTAAAAATTTTTATTGCATTATATAAACTAGTATTTAGAAAATAAGATTTTAAACTTTGAATTAATGCTATTACAAATTTATATATTAAAAATAGAAATTGTTTTGGGCATATAAAATTTTGAGCCATGTATATTAATAAATATATTCTAAATTTTTACAAAAAAAACTCTTTTCTGTTCACCTCTGATCAGAAAAGGAAAATAAAAACAACAATCATAAAGTCACTAAACACAAAACAAAACCCAACAAAAAAGTTTATCTCAAGGGCCAGAGCTCTTGTACCTAAGAAAAGAAAACTCTCTCTAAGAGTTGAACCTTTATTGACAGAAAAAACTTTTAAAATGCAAAAACTTGATATCGAAAGAGAAGGAAACAACAACTTCTTGGCAGAAAAGTCTGACAACATTTCTTCTAAGTGTGTTTCTGTAACACAAGAAGAAACAGAAATAGCTAATGAAAAACTAGTACCAATAGTAGTAATTCAAAATAAGAAAGACTGATTGGAGAATATTATTCAAAGAAACAACAACTTTCAAGCTTTAGAAAACACATTAAATCACGAGAACAAAACAAGTAATGAAAATGTAAACAATGATAAAATCAGTCACGTGCTAACTACTGAAGAAGAAACAAGTTGTACTACAGAAGAACAGCACAAACACAGACCTACTTTAAGCTATGCATCAGCTGCCAAACAGAGCACAAACATGTCAGCAAAATTAAAAAGAGAAAAATCAATCTTTGTAGCTTTTTCTTCTAGAAACCAAATTAAATCAAAAAACAACAATGCACTAATTATTGAAATTTCAGATCTTCGTAACTCTCTCAATGAAATTATGGCCTTTTTATATGAAGGTCTGGGAGGAGATATTGTTGCAGCCAAACAACACTTTAAAAAAGGATTAAGATCTTATTTAAAATTGTTTTTTCAAACCAAGATCGATTATCTTATTATACCACTAATGACATTAAAATTTTTAATGAAAGATATTATGACTATATCCTAACAGATGCTCATAAATCCTTCTTACCAATTAAAATAAGAAACATATCCTTAGAAACCAAAGAATGCATCTCCAGCCTGATGAAAGAAGCCTTTGAAAATTTTGTGAAAATTGTCTCAATTAAATCTTTACTTATTGAAGGCACTCCTTATATGACAGATTAATGAATCATTATCTTCAATAATACTGAAGACTCAAAATTAGAACAAAGAATTTCTTGTTTTACATATATAGATAATAACAAAGTGACTACCGAGTGGAAGGAGGCACCAAAAGTCTGTTATTTCTGTGACCAAACAGAGCACATTAAAAAAGACTGTGCACAATTTCAAGAAATGAAAAATCTAAGACTACACTATTAAGAATTCAAAAGAAAAAGTGTACAAAACAGAATACCTATTAAAAACCCAACAGAGAATAATCTATACATAAAAGAAGTAGAAAACCTTTTAACTCAAGAAGAAACCCAAAACATGAACATGAATGAAACCTGCTTACAAGAACAAACAACAGAAGAAATTATATCGAATTATGAAATGGATGGCAAAACAGATACCGTTTGCATAGAAATTTCCATTAAAAATAACCTTAACACAACATAAGAACCAGCAATTAACAACACAAATTTGGAAAAGGCACAACCAAATGGGCAAAAAAAAGTAGATAATCCTACTTTTACATTAGTTGTGTGCAAAAAAAGGAAACATAAGGATTCAAAGCCTTACAAAGTAGTCAACAAAGAAAATTATCAGGATGATCCAAAACAAAGAGCCAGTGGAAGCTCTAAAACTAAATAATTTATTTTTAATGAGCTATCATTCAATTAAAATCGCTATGTTAAATGTTAAAGGCTTAAACAATTTAGACAAACGGACTAAAACATTAACACTTTTAAAATCTTATAGATTAGATATTATTTTTTTACAAGAAACAAACACTTTTAATGCTGCCACCCAACAATTTTTAAAAGACCAATAGTCTTTTGACTCAATCTGGACAGGCAGAACAGCAATATTAGCAGGAAACAAAATTATAAAATTTAATGACACCAAGATATTACAAGAAGACAGAATAATCTCAACATGTTTCATATTTAAGAAATTCTCCTTTCATGTAATAAATGTTTATATACTACCAAACATCTTAAACAGAATGGAATTCTTTAACAACTAGAATATAGACAAAAAAGAAAACATGATCAACATTATCGCAGGGGATCTAAACACAAACTTGAACCCAGATATCAATAGAATGAGTCAGGCAACCTCTCAAAATGACCCTTCAAGGACACTACTTAATGAAATCACAAAAGAATTTATCGACTCAGCTTTGTTTTCTAAACGAAACCCCTTTTACACATTTCATCAAAATATATATAACAACCAATTAATAGCTACTCGGCTAGACTATATCTTTATAGATGAAAACTACAGCCATTTCAAATCAGAAACTAAAACAAGATTTGGAAACTCTGATTACCTCCTAGTTGAATACATTCTAAGTCTAGAACAAAAATCTAGACACTCAACATTATGAAGATTCAACCCAAATTCTTTTAAAAATAATACTTTACAAAAAGAAATCTTGGATGAAATCAAAGATGCTACCTCTGCAACAAGCTGGGACATGTATAAAATTTACATCAAATCAATCATAAAGGCCTTTAAAAAACCAAAAGCCCCAGAAGACAAATAAAAAGACTCAACAAGAAAATTAATCAATTAAAAGAAACTATAGCCAAATCTCCCAGCCAGATGCACCTCTTTGTCATACTAGAAAACCTTAATTTACAGGTCCAATTAGAATTAACTAAACTGGCACAAAGATAGCAATGTTGATCAAAAACAACCTGGATAAAACTAGGAGAAAAATCAACCAAATACTTCTATTCACATTTTAAAAGTCAAAGCTTATGTTTAGCTCTTACAAAAATACAAATTCCCTTAGCTCAGAAACAAACTAATGAAAAAGAAGTACTTAATTATATCAAAGAACAATACTCTACAATATATAGCAAAAAAGAAATTGACAATAGAATAGCTGAACAAATCACCAAAGATCTTTCACAGGTTTTTACACAAATGAACAAAAAACTAACAGACCCTATCTCCAAAGAAGAAATTTTAACAACTATCTAAAAACTACCAAATAACAAGTCCTCAGGACTGAATGGTCTTACATACAAATTTTATAAACTTACAGAAGAACACATTATACC